AATTAAACAAAAAGCATTTGGAATTAATTGATGAACATAATGCATTAAAAGTTTCACACACCTCACTTAATTCTGATCTTCAGAAATCTAAAGAGATTGAGAAAAATTTGAGGAATGATAATGATGCATTAAAAAGAACTAACTTGAGGATTCAAAATGATTTGGAAACATGTAAGAAAAATCGGATGACATCTACTTTTGATCCTAAGCCAAAACCTAGGAAGAGGCATTATAACTCAAATCATTTAAGAAATCCTTTTCCTGGAGTTAGATATTTTTCTTGTGGCATGCTAGGACACATCTCACACACTTGCATTGTTCACCATAGTACACATTGGGTGTGGAGACATAAGGTGCATGTTTCACAGCATACCATACTTGCATTGCATTCTACTTTTTCTAAGAAGGGGCCCAAACCAGTTTGGGCTCCTAAATCTGACTGTTGTTGAGTTTTGCAGGTGTGCTCTCACCAAAGACCTTGTGGGAGCACAGGATAACTGGACATATGAAGGCTCGCAGCTCATAGATGCTTAAACCTACTGCTTAAATAAATTCTTGAAATGTGTTTTTGTTTCAGTGTGTTTTAGTTCTGCTTTGTTGTTGTTTTAATTTGTTGTGTTTTCTCTTTGCTTTTATTTTTAGTTTTCCATATGTAGAATCTTTGCAAAATTTTAAATTTTGGAGTTTTGAAGATAATGTTTAGCTTTTCTAAAATTAGTTAAAGGGAAAAACACAGTTGATGGTTTCCCTCCTTCTGATCTTGTTTAGTGGTATGATTTTCTTCTCTAAATAAAAGTCTAACTCATTTGAGCCAATGGTTTTTGAAACTAAGATTCTTTAACTTGCTACAATAATCTATCTTGTACATAATATCCAAAGTTCTTATATATCTTTCAAGTTATTTAAAATCTTCCCATTGCTTTTATCACATGATTTTGATTTTGTTTTGTGACTTGTTCTTTCCTATATTAGAGAGAGAGCTCCTATTCTCTAATATTTAGAGGATTATTCACAACTAAGAGTCTTTTTTTAAGGGTTTTGTTAAAGGGAATGTAGCTTGAAAGAATTAAGAAGGAAATTGAAAAGATGCAAATTTGAAATATATTTATAAACAAAAGTGTATCAAAAAATCAAGATGCTCAAAGAGCCAATTCACAGACAAAAGAGGCATAAGATGAGCCTACTAAATTCAAACTACTATCTCTTCTCTAAACTCTTAAAACTTAGTTGAACTCATTGATTATTTGATGATTTCAAATGCTTGATTTCAAATTCCTTGATTGAGACAAATTACTTTGTTTTATTATTTATGAGATTTTTTCTTTGTAAACAAGTTTTGATTTGATCTTCTTTTGGCCCAATTAGGTTTATTCTGAGTTAAACATTTTTGTTTTTCAAAAGAAAATTTGTATCATAAGGAACATCTGATCTAGGGTAAACAGAATCGGATATTTTACCTTTGTCTAATTAGGATTGACTAAACTCCTTGATATTGTGGAACTCTAAAATTTAATTATTTTAGAACTTCTCATATAAAGCCTTGATAAAACAAAAAAAAATTAGAAAAATTAAAATTCAAAAATATTTGTTTATTATTATTATTTATTTTCGTTATTTTTAGCTTTCTATTACTGTATGTTTGTCTACTTTTATTTTGTTTTATTTTTTAGAGCCTTGATCATCACCATCTTTTCCTTGGTTTCAAATTCTAGTCACATCGTCCTGGCCAATACCTGTATTGTCCTGGACGATTAGATAAAATCTCTTCAAATTCCATATGCTGACCTTTTCTGTGCTTGTTGTAACTCATCGTCCTGGACGATACGATACTGTCCTAGACGATCTGATTGATCTCTGTTGCAATCAAGATGATAGTCCTGGCCGATAGAATATTTTGTCTGGCCGATGCATTTTATGTGCATCGTCCTGGCCGATACACTAAATCGTCCTGGACGATCCACGTGTTAGCACGTTTAAATCCTTAAAATCGGCCCCGTACGATCCATTATTGGACAATCGTCCTAGCCGATCCACTGTTCGTCCTGGACGATATACGTGGCAGAGATTTAAAATGTTTTAACTTGGGCCGGTACGATCAATTATTGTGCATCGTCCTGGACGATACACCTAATCGGACCGGATAATATGCTTTTTGAACGGTCGTCTGGATTACCTCCTCGGGACGATCGCATGTATCTAATCGTCCTGGCCGATATCTGATCAGCCTGGATGATTGGACCACCATTTTGACCAATCGGCCTGTACGTAATTATTGAGCCATATAGGCCTGGACGATTCTGCGATATGGCCGTTTCTTTAAATTCTGGCCGATCCTGCCATATTTTTCACTTCATCCCTTCTCCTCATGTGTCTCCTTGCTAACTCTCTTCTATGGCTAGTGGTAAACATGTTCGACAAACTTCTGGGAGTTCTTTGAGGGCTAGGATTGACCCTCGTTTCAGTGAGGTAGAAGATGAATCCGCCTACCATCGATACAAAGAGTGTGGGATAACTGTCTCCAGAATCACAATCCTACCCACATCTCATACCTGGTAATGGATCTTTACGCTCACACCTCCCTTTGTTTCATTCTGTCTCTTGCTTTCCCCATTAATATCAAGTTTCTTCGAGAATTCTTTGCAAACCTTCACATTAACCCTACCTTCACAGCCCTGACCTCCTATGTGAATCGACGCCCTGTTGAAATCACATATCAGGACTGTGTTTAACTGTTACAGCTATCCACCACCGGGGATAAGCTGCACTTAATCGCTTCAGATCCTAACCTTGACTAGTCCACGGCGAAACACTTCCTTCGCCAGACCAATGTACCTTTTCATGTTGGAGAGACTAGCTCTTTAGTCAAAGATGATAGGACAATCCAACATGTCCTTCACACCTCCATAATTCCAAAAGCCGGGGACTGAATCCACATCACCCCTCTACTTTCCCTCACTACTTTCTACATCATGGCTCATAGAGAATTTAATATTGCGGACTTAATTTTTTGATATATTGATCACTTAACCACAATCCATGATCCAGGTCATAAGAGGAAACCCAATCTAGCCTTAGGACACATTTTAGCCTATATCCTTGAAACAAAATACTAACTTCAGTATCCTATTCCTCCTAACCTCCCAATTCCCTTCTACTCAAATAGTTCCTTCAGTACCCTTCACAGTACTTGTCTCCATCCTGGGGATGAGGAACCTCGGGGGGCTGAGGAGGAGGAGGCTCCCGCTCCCATTCCTGATCCTGTTTCCCTACATCAGCACTCACCGGTTGATCAGTTGATAGAGAGGTTTGATCGATGGGAGACTCGCTTTGACGCTTACGTTACTACACAGGAGCAACAACATTCTGCGGACATTGCTCGCTATGAGTAGCACCGCACTGAGGATTTAGCCCGATTTGATAGGTACATGACTCACCAGTAGCAGCAGCATGACCTGGACATCGCCTGGTTCAATGCTCAGTTTACTACGCTTGCAAGCTACTTTCAGCGGCCACGTCCACCACCTCCATCTAATGATCAGGGTCCCTCGTTTTTCTAGTCTGTGTTTTCTGTGGTCTGTTTTCTGTTTCTGTAGTTTGTCTTGTAGTTTATTTTAGTTTCTGTTGTGTTGTTTTCTTTTTTCTTTTATGTGTCTAGGACCCTCTTTTTGTGATGACAGAATGGGGAGTAGGTTGTGGTAGGAAAAGTTGATTTACTTGTAATTTTTG